TCTCTCTCTCTCTCTCTCTCTCTCTGCCTCTCCCTCTCCCTCTCCCTCTCACCCTCTGCATCTACCCCACTTGTGCTCTCTCTCTCAAAGTAAATAAACTTAAAATAAAGCCCTAATAGCTTCATAAAAATCATAGTAAAATTAAGAATATATTTAACCTGTATAAATAGAAGGGTATTATTTTGATTAATTTTTGATCAGCTTTATTGATAGTTTAGATTTTTAGTATCTTAACAAAAACAAACAAAAAACAAGAGTTTATATTTCACACTATTCAAACCAATGCACAAATATTTACACAAGTCCCAAATATAGGGCCTAAATGCTTTTTAAAAATGTTTTAAAGGGTATGCAATTATAAGAAATGAACATTCCATTCTTGTGCACTCCTAGACATGTGTTATGGCAACATTTAAGTTTTGACTGAGGACAAGTCTCTCTTAGTTTTCATTAATCTTCTTAGAATACCAGTTATGATCATGTTTGACTGAATTTACTTCGTAGACAAAATCCTAAATGGAAATTAATTTTATTGGCTAACTAAGTATTAAAAAAAAACAAAAAAAAAAAAAAACAAAACTTAGAAAGGAGGGAGGAGGGAAAGAGGAGAAAAGGAAGGAAGGGGAGATGGAGGGAAGAGGGTAATGTTGTACAAGTGAAAATAAAAACCTGATAAATATCCTTACCTTCACTTTTTTTTTCTGCTTGTTTTGTTGCATTTTCTACTTTTTTTTGTTTTGCTGCTAACAGTTCCCGCTTTAACTGTCTTGCTTCTTTTCGGAGCTCGTCACTGTAAAGCAAAAACAATTATATAAAGTACATAATACATGGAAAGAAAAAATTGTTTAGCAAAAACAGGCATATTGTTTTTTACATACACTAAATCCCTAAAAAAAACACAAAAAAAATAATGTAATTCATTTTGTTTCTTACCTGTGTATTGTGCTATGGAAACAGAGCTATAGAGATTTTAGAAGCTGTCATTTTTTAGAATAGCAATATAATATGAATTACCTATCAAATATACTCCCTATCAAGTATGTTAAACAGAAATAGATAAATGATAAATATCCCACTATTCTAATTCACTTGCTAATTTAGCATTCTAGTTCCAGTTTAATAATTCATGAAGATCCTGAATCAAAACAAAATTTTAATATAAATTCTACTTACTAAACTTGCACATACACAAAAAGATGTGGCTTTAAAACTTGGTGAATTCCTCAACTGGCACCAGTAGCTACCATTTATTAAGCAATTACATGCTAGGTGCAGTGCTAAAATGTTTTTAAACTCAGTTTTTTAAACTCAATTAATTTTTAACCCACTTAATACCATAATCTGGCAAAAAATTTCCTCTTCTGTGAAACCTACAAGGCTGAGGTATTCTGATGATTAGTACAATCATGTATGAAAGGTAAACTGGGATATAAATATTGACTTCACTACAAGTCACTAGGTGGCTAGCTTCTACAAAGCCAGTTTTAGGATATATTCAAATTCATGTGCTTATAAAAAATTAATTACCCATGACATGAACACTTAGGGTCACTAGTGGCCAGTCAAACTTTGAATGTCAGGCATCTACTCTATTTCAGTAAAAGCTAGAGTGGATAACAGACACTTAAAGAACCACTGCAAACCCAAGTAGGCAACAAGTCTAGAAAAGGTCTCCAAAGACACCCAAGCCACAGTTTACCGGGATCTTAAATCTAAATACTTCAATACTGATTCAAACTTTGTGCTTCTTCCTGGTCCCCAAATCTCATACTTTATTTTTCTTTTAAAGCATGTCATATATTAGTTACCAAAGTAATAGGTCTTACAATGTGCACAACTCAATTCTTACTCCTCTTTTCTACATCAAACACAAATGGCTATAATTTGTATCTGCTTGGCCTCCAAGATCCTGAATTCTGAAAATTCCTTCTAATTAAAATCTACTACCTACTTGGGGTGCTTGGGTGGCTTGGTCGGTTAAACGTCCAAATTCAGCTCAGGTCATGATCTCAAATTTCCTGAGTTTGAGCCCCGTGTCAGGCTCTGTGCTGACAGCTCAGGGCCTGGAGCCTGCTTTGGATTCTATGTCTCCCTCTCTCTGTCTGCCCCTTCCCTGCTCTCTCTCTTAAAACAAACAAACAAACATTTAAAAAATTTTTTTTAAATCTACTACCTACTTCCTCAGTTTTTCATTGCTATTGAACCTGTTCTCACTCAATATAATAATGAAAGCCAGCTTCTTCATAGTTGATGATCTGTCAGCCCTATTCTAACCCAACTGGCTCTCTATCCATTCTAGATGATACGGTCAGCTATTTCACTAATGTCGTCACCAGCACCTTTAATTTTCTTGACTTGTTTGTCCTTATGAATATGTGATAATTACCTAGAAGACCTTGCTCAGAACATGTTCCTAGAGACAAACCTCCAAAGAATGTTATTTTGTTAGATGTGAGATGTTGCCTGGGAATTTGTCCTTGTAACAAGTTCTGGTTGATTACAATACGCATTCAGGTTTGGGACCCAGTGCATTAGGACTGCCATATAGCAATTATCTTCTCTTCTTTACAACTCCAAGCACTCCTACTTCACTAATCCTTTCATTCAGCCAACAAACATACTCAAATTTCCCTGGACTCTGCTCCAATCAAGTGATGATTATCTTTACCACTGGACTCTTGGCCTGAAAGAACAGTTTATATATAGAGTCTACTTTCTCAGCCTCAAACTTCTTAATCTCTTGCAATCTATCCTTCTTATACTCTATTGAAACTGCTTCTGTATCAACCAAATTCAATGGTCTTTTCTCAGTCTTCCTTTTCCTCTTTGGCTTCTCTACCATTCAATATTAACCACTCCTTCCTTCTTGAAATTCTATCCTAATCAGACTATGTACCATTTTAGAGTATTGATTCTCCAATCCTTATTCTAATTACTCTTTCTTTTCTCAATCTATAATTCTTGGTATTTTTCCCATTTCTGTACCTTGTACAATGGCATTTTGTCTAATCTCATAACATTTGTCTAATCTCATAACATCAGATATCACTTTTATATAGGTTATTTCCAAATCTAGATGTTTTGCTCTGATTGTTTGGTCCTGCATTTTTAACTGTTACAAACCTTCCTGTACATTAGTACTGTCCAACAGAAATATAAGGTGAGACACATATGCAATTAAGTTTCCTAGCTGCCACATTAAAGAAATAGCAAAAGGAAACAGGTTAAATTAACAACTTGTTTTAACTCATTAACTTAGTATGTCCACAATATTATTATGTCAACATGCAATCAATATAAAAATATTAATACTGTATTTACTTTTTTTTTTTTTTTTGGTACTAAGTGTTCTAAATCTGGTGTGTATTTTATACTTACAGCACACCTCAGTTTAAACTAGCCACATTTCAAGGGCCCAGATCTAGATGGATAGTGGAGGCGAGACGCTGCAATGTTCAGACTTGAAGTCATCTCCTCCCTGCCCAAATCTGTTCCTTTTCCTGAAATCCCTGTTTGAATGTGGAACTATTTTCCTCCTAATGACCAGACTTTAAACTTCCTCTGGGACTGTTCCCCCGCCCTTTCACTGAATCACTGTCGGAGTATGTCATTTTCCAATCTCTCTCACGTATAATACTCCTCTTGACTCTCAACATCAATGCCCAGTTTAGGCTCTCATTATGTATTTCTCAGATAAATTACTTCCTATTTCTTGAAGTTATATGAGCACAGGGAATAGCAACCACATCTTTACTCCATCCACTGAATACCATCTTTTATTATACTAATTAAACAAAATTTTAATTTGGTAAGTAATACAGAAATTTTGATGATGTTTTCTGAATACTAAGGTCTTTGAGGGGAAGATTATTTTGAAAGTTGAAGAGGAAATGCTGCATGATGGCTAAACAAACTAGTTATGAGAGTCATTTGAAGTATGCGAAGAATGAGGCAATGACAGTATATACTGTTGCAGAGGAAGTAATGCACAGTTATCAAAAGGATTAACTTTGGATTCAGAAAGTCTTGATTTAAAAGCTAACTCTAACACTTATTATCTGAGTGGCCTAAGAACAATTATTTAACTTCTGTGAGACTCAGTTTCCTCAACTATAAAATGGGGGTAAGATATTTAAAATATTGGACAGACAATACATGTTCAACAAATGGTAGCTATTATTATTTAGATCATGTTAAAACAGCATTACAGTTAAGGGTTGTTTGCGATGTAGGAATATTTCTTTATTATGTTATTTACTACAAATAAATGCTACCTCTACTACATATGGAGATCAACTCTTCATAATTTTTTTTTTTAAATGTTTATTCATTTTTGAGAGACAGAGAGAGACAGAACATGAGCGGGGAAGGGGCAGAGAAAGAGGGAGACACAGAATCTGAAGCAGGCTCCAGGCTCTGAGCTGTCAGCACAGAGCCCGACGTGGGGCTTGAACTCATGAACTGTGAGATCATGACCTGAGCCGAAGTCAGGCGCTCAACCGACTGAGCCACCCAGGCGCCCCTTCATAATTTTTATAAAGGACAGTGAACGCATAATGCCAGCTTCTAAAAATCTATCCTTAAATAGTCAAAGACTTAGATGCACTGTTTAAGTAGCCATAATAACAGCTAGTGGCACCACGGTGGCGCAGTCGGTTAAGTGGCCGACTTCCGCTCAGGTCATGATCTCACAGTTTGTGAGTTTAAGCCCCACGTCAGGCTCTGTGCTGACAGCTCAGAGCCTGGAGCCTGCTTTGGATTCTGTGTCTCCCTCTCTCTCTGCCCCTCCCTTGATCGTGCTCTGTCTCTCTGTCTCTCAAAAATAAACATTTAAAAAATTTTTTTAAAAACTTTAATAACATATAAAGTGAATAATGAATAAAAACTAAAAAAAGACAAAGTAAGATAGAGAAGGGAAGGTCTATAAGATTATTAAAAATTGCTTCATTATACTAAATTTTTCAAGTGATTCATAATTTACAACATTGTTAAAATCTTTCAGACTATTCAAATAACACTATCTGTTGGTACTTGAGGAATCCATAACTCTTAGAATGAAGTGCAAGTTTTTAAACTAGTCTTTAGGTCACAGTCTGTATATTCTCTAGAATATAATCTTATCCATTGGTGCTAGAATATCTTTAAACTGTTAAAATGAGAACAAAAGTTGTAAGCCTGGAGTTTATGTCACCTGAATACTGCTAAACTATGGGCTTGCTTTAGAGTCCAGGCAGTATCTTTATGCCTTCAGAGCCTAGTTTCGGCTTGTATGGTAAAACAAATGGCTTCTGTAAGCTACTATTAACTCTGAGCTAATTGACTTTTTTCTCTAATAGGTATGTTTCTAATCTGAATTCATTTGAATTTTAATATGGTTTATATTTTATGGTTTATATTATATTTTATTTTTGATAGGGAAAGAGTGTGACTGGGGGGAGGACAGAGAGAGAGAGGGACAGAGGATCCAAAACAGGCTCTGCACCGACAGCAAGGAGCCCAATGTGGGGCTTGAACTCATGAACTGTGAGACCATGACCTGAAGTGAAGTCAGATGCTCAAGTGACTGAGCCACCCAGGTGCCCTGGAAAAGAGAATGTCTTTAAAACAAATCATCCCAATAAAATATACCAGCCTAGAAATTATAGTAGCCTTTGTATATTTAGTAATAGCAAAGAAAGTACTAATTTCTTCAACAATTTCTGGAGCATCTAATATTTTTACGGTACCATTCTGAGTGATGGCACAGAAATCAAAGTGAATAAGGAGGGAAAGGAACCTAGTTAGCCAGAT